CAAATACCATAGCCACTACAGCCAAAAGTGCCATGGCGTTTTCTAAGGAGTCAAATCGTTTTTTAGTTTCTTACCTGAGGTCCACACCATTGACAGCCTCAGCCAAGGATCTAAGCCATGCATTGCTGGGCTTAGTTTGGGAGAACTTACGGCACTTTCTGCTTACGAAGCCCCTACACTTCAGTGACAGCAGTGGAGGGGAGGAGCAGTGCCTAGCAGACCCCAGGTAAGAATTCAAATCCATATCCTTCCTGTATTATAACTACTTCAGTATGCTCCAGTGGTTATAGTGCTTACTACTCAGGGTCAGAGGAATCACGGCAGATGTCATGATGGCAAACATCTCTTGAAACACACAGAATTTTCTAATCATTTTACTATTTCAAACACAAAGTAACTAAACTATGGAACAGACAGTGGAAGGCCAGTAGAGCTCACAAAACCCATCGATCCCTTTATGAATGGTCCTACTCAAACTGCACAAACATTATATGGGTAAGACAGGTGCTGGAGTCTCAAGGTCTGACATTAAATGTTCCTGTAACCTCCATCAGTTTGACCTACACAGTATGAAAAAGTATTTACAGAGACCTGTGCATTTAAGTGGTTTCAGGTATTTGGTACCAGGAGTGGAGGAGGAGGGTCATCAGTATAGTATCTGAGCAGTGGGCAAAACCAAGTACAGGACAATGGGCAAAACCAAGACCTCTATTATGCTGGTTCCTCGATTATCCACTTACCCTTTACAACGTATGGGTATGGGGCAAAGAAGAAGCATTGCTTTGGCCTTTTTTTATTTTTTTTTACTGCTATTAACAATGTCCGTCATATTCTTCTGGCCATGGAGGGACATACTCAAACAAGGTTATTTAATTAAATTTGGTGGGCATTTAGAAACATAGAAAAATAGAATATGACGGCAGATAAGAACCATTCGGCGCATCAAGTCTGCACAATTTTCTAAATACTTTCATTAGTCCCCGGCCAGGGGCGGACTGAGAGCCTTTGGGGCCCCCGGGCAAAATTAGATCCCAGGCCCTTTGAAGGACAAATATATGTGCATTTTAATAAATGTTAAATATAATTCATAATACGGCATTCCTTTGGATGTGTGTATTGTGAAGACCTGTGTATCAATGCATGTTTGTATTTGAGTCTGTGTGAATGCACTTGTGCATGTCTGGATGACTACATGTGCTTTTTGTATATAGTGTCTGTGTGAATGCATATGTGACAGGTGACAGAGTGTATGAGGGAGAAGGTGACAGGTGGAAGAGTGTGGGAGGTTGTGACAGGTGGCAGAGTGAGGGGTTACCTGGTGGCAGAGTGAGGGAGGGGTTGAGTGGTGGCAGAGTGAGGGGGAGACACAGTGAGTGGGGGTGACTGGTGACAGAGTGAGGGAGTGGGTGACTAGTGACAGAGGGAAGGAGAGGGGGAGACTAGTGACAGAGGGAGGGAATGGGAGACTAGTGACAGAGTGAGGGAATGGGAGACTAGTGACAGAGTGAGGGAATGGGTGACTAGTGGCAGAGTGAGGGAGGGAAGGGGTGACTAGTGACAGAGTGAGGGGATGACTGGTGACAGAGTGAGGGGGGGTGACTGTCACTAGTCACCCCATCCCTCTCTCTGTCACTAGTCACTCCCTCCCTAACTCTGTCACTGTGTCACCCGCTCCCTCACTCTGTCACTAGTCACCCCCTTACTCTGTCACTGTGTCACCCCCTCCCTCACTCTGTCACTAGTCACCCCATCCCTCTCTCTGTCACTAGTCACCCCATCCCTCTCTCTGTCACTAGTCACTCCCTCCCTAACTCTGTCACTGTGAAGGAAGGAAGGGGTGACTGGTGACAGAGTAAGGGAAGGGATGACTAGTGGCAGAGTGAGGGAAGGAAGGGATGACTGGTGACAGAGTGAGAGAGGGGGTGACTAGTGACAGAGTGAGAGAGGGGGTGACTGTCACTAGTCACCCCATCCCTCTCTCTGTCACTAGTCACTCCCTCCCTAACTCTGTCACTGTCCCTCACTCTGTCACTGTCACCCCGTCCCTCACTCTGTCACTAGTCACCCCCTCTCTCACTATGTCACTAGTCACCCCCTCCCTCACTATGTCACCCCCTTCCTCACTCTGTCACTAGTCACCCCCTCTCTCACTCTGTCACTAAAGACAGAGGGGGTGATTAGTGACAGAGTGAGGGAGGGGGTGACTAGTGACAGAGTGAGGGAGCAGGTGACACAGTGACAGAGTTAGGAGGGAGTGACTAGTGACTAGTGACAGTCACCCCCTCCCTCACTCTGTCACTAGTCACCCCCTTCCCTCTCTCTGTCACTCCCTCACTCTGTCACTAGTGTGAGGGGGTTACTAGTGACAGAGTGAGGGAAGGGGTGACTAGTGGCAGAGTGAGGGAAGGAAGGGGTGACTAGTGACAGAGTGAGGGAGGTGGTGACTGTTACTAGTCACCCCCTCCCTCTGTCACTACTCCCTCCCTCCTCCTGTCACTACTCCCTCCCTTCTTCTGTCACTAGTCACCCCCTCCCTCACTCTGTCACCAGTCATCCCCTCCCTCACTCTGTCACCAGTCATCCCTTTCCCTCACTCTGTCACCCCCTCACTCTGTCACTAGTCACCCCCTCACTCTAGTGACGGAGGGGGTGACTAGTGACAGAGTGAGAGAGAGGGTGACTAGTGACAGAGTGAGGAAGGGGGTGACACAGTGACAGAGTGAGGGAGGGGGTGACTAGTGACAGAGTGAAGGAGGTGGTGACTGTGCAGTCATCCTCACTCTGTCACCAGTCATCCCCTCACTCTGTCACCAGTCATCCCCTCACTCTAGTGACAGAGTGAGGGAGGGTGTGAGTAGTGACAGAGTGAGGGAGAGGGTGACTAGTGACAGAGTGAGGGAGAGGGTGACTAGTGACAGTGAGGAGGGGTGACTAGTGACACGGGGGGGTGACTAGTGACAGTGGGGGGGTGACTAGTGACAGTGGGGGGAGGTGACTAGTGACAGTGGGGGGGGTGACTAGTGACAGTGGGGGGTGATTAGTGACAGTGGGGGGGTGACTAGTGACAGTGGGGGGTGATTAGTGACAGTGGGGGTGACTAGTGACAGTGAGGGGAGGTGACTAGTGACAGTGGGAGGGTGATTAGTGACAGTGGGGGGTGATTAGTGACAGTGGGGGGGGGCATCAGCATGTCGAGGGGGTGACTGGTGACAGTGGGGGTGAGACTAGTGACAGTGGAGGTAAAGTGAGACTAGTGACAGTGGGGGGGTGACTAGCATGTGGGGTGACTAGTGACAGTGGGGTGACTAGTGACAGCAGCACTGGTGACAGTGAGGGGGTGAGACTAGTGACAGTGGGGGCATCACAGTGAGCAGCAGTGGGGGTGACTAGTGACAATGAGGGTGACTGGTGACAATGAGGGTGACTGGTGACAATGAGGGGGGGTGACTAGTGACAGGGGGGAGGGGAGGGGGTGATTAGAGCCTACCTGTCTGTCTGCTTCCTCTCCCTGGCTGCAGCTCCTTCCCCTCCTGGGCTCTGTGTGAGAGGAGTAAACAGGAAGTGATGTCAGAGCAGTAGGTTGTGGGGCCCCGCGCTGCATCAGGGGCCCCACAACCTATCGATTAAATTGTTTTTTTTTTTTTTTGCCGTTCCAGTTGGAGTGATCTCTGATCTCTCCAGCTGGAGCATGGCTGTGCGGCCGGGCCCCTGACTGCTTCGGGCCCTCGGTCCATGACCGATATGCCCGAGTGGTCAGTCCGCCCTTGGCTCCCTGTAATTAGATGCCAACTGTTAATCCTAAAATGTAGGGTCCAGCAGATATCATTGACATTGACCACTTGATTGGCATCACAAAGTAAATACAATGGTGCTGAGCCAGTTAGCGAGATCTGCAGTTGCCCTTTACTGTGTTGCTTCCTTCAGCTTCAGTTAAAAAAATCTTTAATGAGAAAGAAAAGGGTATTTTCTAAACGCCAACATACTTACGTAGAAATATACCCCTCTCTGTCTCATTAGAGATATTTTCACCTGAAGCTGAAGGAAGCAAGGTGAATTGTTGTTGTAGAACTCACCTAAGAGGTTTGCCTTGACGTGGCAGGTGAGCTTACAGTCAAGTGGCCACTGGAGTGAAACTAAAAACCTCCATTTATTTAAATGCACACAGGGATTTGTGAAAGTATACAAGTAACTCTTTTCTTTGTTTTTTATTGTATGTATTGGGGCTGATGTGTATTATGGTCATTGCTGCCATCCAAGAGTAGTGGGAGTTTGAGAGCAGGACTTATTTTTGTATATATATAAATAAATCTAACTATATTTATTCTGAAATCAGACTATTCTTTGATTATTACTCACCATGTGTAGTGCGGATGCAGGGTTATATGGTGAGGCCGTTAAATATCCTGTATTCATTGTATTTGCAGAATAATTTAATTCCACCTTGAATTAATCACAGGCTATTTCAGCAGACAGGAATACTGCAAATATCATTTAAGCTAAATGCTTATTAGCCAAGGCCGTCTTTAAAGGGGGGCAAAAGGGGCAGCTGCCCAGGCCCAGTTACTCCTGGGGGGCCCAAAGTAGCTGCTCTGTGGGCCCCCTGCTGGGGTCCAAATCCTGTGGACTGCAGCACCTGATGTAATTAAGGGCCCTCAGCCCTTTAAGAGTGCTCGGCCTTGGCCCCTTTGATTTTGCCTGCTGGGAGGAAGTGAGGTGAGATCACTTCCTCCCAAGTAACAGAGTGCCGCTGGGAGGTAGAGGAGGTATACACAGGAGGAGAAAAGGGACTCTCATCAGCCTTGGCCCTCCAGCTCCCACTGGACCCCAGGGAAGCCACCCTTCTGTACCCAAAAGGTAAGGAGACAAGAGGGTGGCTAAAACATGATGTAACTTGATATATGTGTGTGCACCTGGGTCTGAGTGAGTGCATATGTGTGTGTTTATCTGGCTATGTGTGTGTGTTTATCTGGCTATGTGTGTGTGTGTTTATCTGGCTATATGTGTGTGTATTTATCTGGCTATATGTGTGTGTATTTATCTGGCTATATGTGTGTGTATTTATCTGGCTATATATGTGTGTGTTTATCTGGCTATAAGTGTGTGTGTTTATCTGGCTATGTGTGTGTGTTTATCTGGCTGTGTGTGTGTTTATCTGGCTGTGTGTGTGTGTGTTTATCTGGCTATGTGCGTGTGTGTGTGTATATATCTGACTATGTGTGAATATCTGGCTGTGTCTATGTCAGTGTGTGTATCTGGCTGTATGTGCATGTGTATCTGGCTGTATGTGTGTGTGTGTGTGTGTGTGTACCTGACTGTGAGTGTTTGTACCAGGCTGTGAGTGTACCTAGCTGTGTGTATATCTAGCTGTGTGTGTATCTGTCTGTGTTTGTGTCAGTCTGCGTATCTGGCTGTGTGTGTCAGTGTGTGTATCTGGCTATATGTGTCTGTGTATGTATGTGCATATATCCAGGCAATCAAACACACCACAGCAAACACAATCATTACATACAAACACACCCCTAATACAAACTCCAAAATTGTATACAAACACACCCTTCACTCACTAAACTACACACAAATGTACATCTGCATTTAAAAGACAACCCTACATCCACACACACCCCTGCATGCAATTACAAATGTTACATAAAACACTAAAATTATATACAAACGCCAACTTAATACACAAAAGCACAACTTCATTTAAAAGCCAACACTACATACAAACACACACCCCTGCATTCAAACACAAACACTACACAAAAGTACACAGCTGCATTCCAATAGTAACAGTATATACAAATACACCCCTATATGCACACATATACTCTATACAAAAACATGCTTACATTCAAATTCACAAACACTGCTCACAAATACAACCCTACAAGAATGGCCAAACGGTGGATCCCCATCGTGGAAGTTGTACGACAGATGGGTATCTAACTTTTCTCCACTCTTGCGCTATTGGAGAGAAAACAATTCTTGCACCACAGCCCTCTCTACATTAGTTCTATCAGTAGGTTGGGGAGGAGGCCCTGATTGCATGCCAGGGAGCTGGGGGTTGAGAATGGGGGGGGCACGGGGGAGTGGGGAAGGGCAGGTATAGGGGGCCCAAGCAAATGCTTGCCCGGGGTCCAATCGATATTAAAGACGGCCCTGTTATTAGCAAATACTATGTATAATAACAACACAGAAATTAATATCCTATTAGATTGGTTTGGATATATGTAAAGATTGGACATACTGCAAGATAAACCGGTATGTTTATTATTGACTTTATTCTGTTAATAGGAATATACATATGACATATATATAAAATAAATCATATATATAAAAATCCAGGGCTGCCATTGAGAGGCTCAGGCCAGCTCGTAGTGCTTTTTTGGCCCAAATGGGAAGATTATTATTATTATTATGATATTTATAGAGCGCCGTCAAATTCCGCAGTGCTTTACAATGGGTGGACGAACAGACAAGTAGTTGTAACCAGACAAATTGGACACAGGAACAGAGGGGTTGAAGGCCCTGCTCAATGAGCTTACATGCTAGAAGATATATATATATATATATCACCCCTAATTGGACTGCATTATTCAGTGGCATCAGAGTGCACCCTTTGTTAGATGGAAGCCTACAAAGCTTTCTCACGGGGAGTATTGCCGGACTAGGTGATCTCATACATATCACTCATATCACTTCTTCCTAGCATAACCGTGAAGCTGCTCTAACAATGGCAGCCGAGGCTCGGATGCAAGGCAATGTGTAGAGGGGCAGGGATATGATATTTATCTGCTCTTAGTTTCTCACACTGCACTGTCGCATGGGAGATTATGTAATTTAGGGTTTCCTGGAGGGTAAGTAAGAGGTAGAGGCAGGGGATGTTAAAGCATTTTTACTGTGGAGGGAAGAGGATGATGATCAGTGTATGTGTGTGTATGACTGTGTTTCTGTCTGTCAGTTTATTATTATTATTTTTATTTATAAAGTGCCAAAACTGAAAGTGAAAAGACAAAGAGAAAATAAATCTGACACAATACAAAATGTGACAAAATAATACAGGAGGAGTTGGGGGGCACTATTCTCCTGGGAACTTACAATGTAGATGAGTTTGTATGAGTCTGTGGTTACAT